TTTGGGGGCAGACACACAAACACTCTCTCACTTCAGCCATGTGTGGAGGCAGTGATAGCGAGGAGGAGGCTTTGTTGTCAGCTTGTACTATGTGCTGGATGTCACGTTACAGAGTGACTGAACTAGGCTCTTACATACATTTTCCTGCATGTTTTTGTTACAACTAATTTCCATATGTTTGTAAGAAATGTAATACTGCCGATTGTATGTTTTATAACTACTTGAGGCAACTCAAAGCGCGTGGTTAGATGCAGGGAAACGTGAGTTTGGTTAAAAGGCGATGCATCTCGTCAGTGCTTTCTTCTTCTTCGATATTTAGCCAAACCCGCAGTCTTCCCCTAAACTTACCCAAGCGTTTCATTAATGTTAACCTAACCCAACGCAGGCCACAGGTCACAAACCAGCGCCTTCCAGTGTCAACGTCATGGTGTTAGGATGACCACCCTGACCACCTCCACATGTGCGCTTCCAGAGGAACCATGACACTTCCTGGACCGGAAAAAAAGACGAAAGTCCAGCTGGAGTTATTCCCTTTCAAATTAGTATCAAAGATATGTATACTTAAATAAGTCATGGTTCAGAACAATACACTTAATATAATATTATATATATACATAATATATAAAAAGGGTCTCCAACATTTACTGAAATCATCTTTGGGCCTAAAGTTACATGTCCACCAAATGTATTATTTGTTTAATTATATTTTGTTCATTTAAATAAATGGTGCTTGTGAGATATAAATGACTTGTGTCATTCTACCTTTGTTTTACTTTCAATCTGTTGTGAGTATATTAAAGTCAGTTACCTCTTCCTGCCATCTGGGGTTGCAACAGTCTCAAATTGTGAAAAATGTACCTTTTAAATAGAAAAACCTTCACATGAGTGGTTCCTTGCTGTTGGATCATGTATCTGCACACGTGTGTGCATGTTGTTGTTGCACTATTACGTGTGATTGCACATCATGTTTTTCCATCCTTATCAAAATACAGTAAGTGCTCGTTTCCTCTCTTCGCAGCTGATGCACGGGTCATGTCGAGAGATCTGACCGGGAGGAGAATGTGTGAGCGCTGGACGAGGTTTCTGCACGTGTGAGTCAGATCTGTGTGTCCTGAGAGGATGTAAACTCTGTATACAGAGGCAGATATTAAGAGCATGCCCATATGCAAATGTCTGTCGAGATTAGAGCTACAACAATTATTCAAATGTTTGATTAATTATTCATCGGAGACGCAGTCAATTATTAATTGCAGCCAGCGATAAGTCATCTTTTTCTCTTTTTTTTTTGATCTTAGAGTGAAAATTTTTCTTGTGGGATCTATTGGAGTCTCAATCAAAAGTCTCAATATATATATATATATATATATATATATATATATATATATAGAGAGAGAGAGAGAGAGAGACACTGTCCCTTCTATAGTGATTAGTAAACTACTGTCCATATTAAAGGCTTCACTCTCTGTTTAAGCAGCTGATCAAAATGCATACTGTGTCTGTGTTGTGAGCAAATGTGTTAAAATGACTTCTAACTTTAATACTGACACATAACGAGCTCTGCTTTCATGCCAGCAATCAATAGGAGGGAGGGAGGGAGACAGAGTGTTTGAACATGCAGCCAGTCCTGTGATAACTGTGAATACCTAATCACGTCGGTGTAATCTACTGCAGTACATGCTATACATTCACATATATGCAGAGCAGGTGATAATAAAAAGTGACAACATTTAAATTTAAGCGTGAAAGTTAAATTCTTGACTTTAAAAAATAGCAGCGGACCAAAAAGATCTGAACTCGAGGTCAACTTACTTTTATGTATTTTCATCTCCACGGCATCATCTTCATCAGTGAAGCATCTGTATTATTAACTGGTATCTTTGATATCATTTTGACATTATGAATGTTGATTCATGTACCTAAAAATGAGAGAATCAACACAAATATGAACAATAAATAATGATTTATACACACAAGCTCCACATCCAAAGAGTGATGGTGTAGAATAAGGTGTCTGGCAGAATAAAGGTATGATCTGTGTGTGTGTGTGTGTGTGTGTGTGTGGGGGGGGATACTAAACAAACAGGTGGAGTTTTATTCACTTGTCTTTCCCACAAAGCATCGGGTGTCTCTCTGCATGAAAAGAAGAAAACACATGTTTGTCTTTTTCTTCTGAGAGTCTCAGTCGAATAAGTGGTCATTTGTAGAAGCCTCTGCACAGTTTCCAGCTAACAACAACAACATAAAAAATCAATAGGTTTTTGTTGTAGGCATTTGTTTCTGCAGCAGTCTGCTATGCAGCACTCTTGTTCTCTCTGCTAGCTTCCTCGTTCAGCCGAGAGAGATCAGAAAGGAGTTTTTTCCACTCTCTCTTGCTCATGGCAAATGTAAGCTAACTTCATTTTGCATGTTTGAAGGAGTTCTCGCAGATCACACGCTCGAGCCTTCGTCTCTCGGTCTTTAATTGTCCGTCAATCTCTGGACTTGTTGTGGTGTCAAGGCTCTCGCGGTGGCTATCGCACGGCCAAACCCCGTCGAGAGATGTGGAGTTTGATGTTGCAGAGCTGGAAGAGCCACAAACAAGCGCGGAGAGATGTGATCTAGGATGTTACGGCTTCTCTTGTCATGCATTCAGAACCTCTGAACGCCAACAACAACCGTTATTTTAATTAAAAAGAGACTAAAGTTGCTTTCAGGCCTCGAGCACAAACTGAACGCTGAGGGTTTAACACTCGAGAGGCCGAGCTGCAGTCACTTGACAGATGTTTTGAATTGTAGAAGTGAGTTTTCTAAATGTCCCTCCTCTTGTTCTAGACCCACTTTCTGGTCAGGCCAGCTTTGTTTCATTGTACTTACACCAACTCCCTGAGCTGAGGGATGACGGTTAGAAACAGCGTTTGTTTCTCTCCATTAATAAAACATCATTTTATAAAGTTCCCTAGTCCCTGAACATCAACAGGACAAGTCGAGAGAAAATACAGACGTTATTTTAGTCCGTAATAATTGTAATTCCACAAATGATCTGTGCTGTGGGCAAATGTGAGTCATCATGATGAGGCGTTTCACCCCAAAATGAAAAACTCCCCTCTTAGTTCATGTCTGAGAGACGTCATATGTTACATGCACGCATGATGCAACTGCTGAGGGAAGCATCGCCGCCCAACACATGAGGACACGGTGACTGCTGTGCGTCATGTGTGATGACCTGATGATCTGAGGCTCCTCTAAAGAGCTGCTAACCACCTTCAATTACGAATCGTTTTCCTACGTTTTCACTGGAGAGATTAGTGTTCCCATGCCGGACGAAATTCCGTTGAAGTTGATTTTATTCTCCCGATAACTGTGGAGGAAAAGCTGAATCACTATTTTGCTTGGAAAAGAGTCAGAGTTGTTTGTGCCAACAATTAAAAAGCTGGCACAAATGATCAGCTTTCGGCAGTTTCAAGCCAAAGACTTCAGTGTTAGTATCACATTACTTGCAGCCACATCAGTCTGTGTTGCTTTGACCTCCTCGCTGCTATGTGTAATGTTGGCCGGAGCTTAAACCTTATCTACAGTTACGGTTCAGATAAATATGTCTGGATATAAACGGTACCTCAATCTTTTTTATTATAACCCTCTCTTTTCCTCCATAATGCGTCATCGTCAACACAGTGATTGAACAACCGTCGTCCTGTGATGAGGACCTGCAGCAGGAAACGCTCTGCAGGCATCCAGTTTACCACATCTGGAAGACACAGGTACGGTTCACCTACACCTGGGCTTCATGTCAGGAGGGGACAGGTTTTACAAAGAGTTACAAAAAGATGTCCTTTCTTAAACATATAATATCATGAATCTAAAATCTGTATTGAAGTAATCATTCAAGATGAATATCCTTCATGCTGCTGGGTGTTTGTGTTTTTGACAGGGCATGGATTCATCACTGGACGCTCCGCGATGTCATGTGACTCACAGATCTAAATCAGGCCAATAATCATGAACGCCTGGCAGCTGAGTTGCTGAATGCACAACATGTACATAGAAGTGTGTTTGAGTCCCGAGGCGTGTTCTGCTGTGGCGTCTCTCCCTCGTCTTATTTCACCGTATAGCAGCGATGGCTGCGGAACAAAAAGCAGAGGTGATGAAAACAGCATTTATTATTCTAGGGAAGGAGAGCGGGATGGGTCGGTAGGATGACTGTATCGCTGGGCCGATGCTCTCTTTATTAAATATCACGTCTGAGACGGTCAGCGATGTTGACTGCCGACCTGATTTAAGTGGGGATCTTATTTCACTGTGTAATGAAACCTGCTGCTACTCCAGGTTTCCAGCTGAGCGTTTTAATGTCTCGTGGTGATCTGAGGTCTGTTTCAGTGAACGTCACCGTTTAAATATATATAAATATGGAAGAAGCGTAAAAAATGGGCATTATTTTACCCCTGCAGAAAGCTTTGATTCAAGCCTTTGCTGCAGTGACCTCTGACCTTACTTTTGATTTTCATAATTCTGAGATGCATCAAGCTAACACGGACATCTTTGTCTGCTCCTGTTGCATCCACTTTGAAGGCCGAGACGTTCAGTCGTGTAATAGCAGCTGACAAAGTACACGGAACATATCAGCGAGTGTATTTGGCTGTTCTGTAACTCGACTACTCCACATGTACAAACGGAAGTCGTGATTACACTGACGGATTCTCTAAATACTACAGAACATTCCTACAGCCCCACTGCACCGCTGTGTTTGTGTTTTCACTGTCAGAAAAGTAAAAGTGGGCCTCTCTTCTCTCCCACACACACACACACACACACACACACACACACACACTGAGGCAGAGAGGGAGAGAAAATTAGGATTATAATCTTGGTAATCAGCAGTCACGCCTCAGGCAGACAGCTGCAGAACTGCAGAGCTCCAATTTAGGTGTTGGACATTAAAAACCATTAAACCCAAGTGAATTTCCACTTATTGATTTTTCTGGGGCAACATTTCAACTTCAGAAAATCAACCAGAGCGGTTAATGTGCTGCGAAAGCTTCAGATTTTTATTTCGAGAAAAAAATACAAACAGGAGAGAGATCAACATTAATCAATACAGTTAAAAATATCCACAATTCATTAGAAATTATTTAAATAATTACAAATCTGCCTGTTTTAGTCGACGATTAATCTCATGAATAACAATTTTCCCAAAACATAGTTCTTTACAATTTTTATTATAGTTAATTTAAACATCAACATTTAGCACTTTTAATCATTAAAACCATAAAGAATTATGAATTCATGCATACGTTGTTTTTGATGCCCCTCCCCTCATTTAAATCAATTTATTCATTAAGCACAAGGTCCCCCTATAGGTCACACACCGACTGTAATCCGTTTTCACGGTGAATATGCGGCCTCACGTCGGGGAGCCTGTGTGCGTAAAAAAGGGAAAAAAAGGAGAGGTGCCACTCCAGACTCGCTTGGATGAATGGGACACAGAGCTGCAGCTACGGTTTAAGTGTGTGTGAGTGTGTGTGTGTGAGAGAGAGAGAGAGAGAGAGAGAGAGAGAGAGAGAGTGTGTGTGAGAGAGAGAGTGCCGGACTGCTTCGTTTACATGCAAGCACCGTGGCAGTAAATTACGCATGACAATAATTCACCCAGGACTGGATCCACTTTCGACCCGAGAAAAACGGGAGGCAAAGCAGCTTCACCCCGCTTGTGCCCTCCTCCTCCTCCTCCTCCTCCTCCTCTTTGTTGTTCAATAAGAAGAAGAAGATAGAAAAAGACTTCATGTCATGATGGAAATGATTGAAATACTGAAGGGAAGAAAGTAAACTCACCAAAAAACTCAATCTGCCATTGGAGTCCTTGGCTGACTCCTCCGGTCCAGGCAGACAAGTTGAAGAGGAACTAAAGTTGAAGAAGATATTTATATAAAGATAGTCAAAATGATTATGCTAATATAAATTACTACTACTATTAATTGTTTGATCATAATAATAACATAAGTGGTATTCCACAAAAAAGAAAAAGCAGAGTAAAAAACAGATTATATTGAAAATTCCCTCCAGAAGCTACGACTGTCTGTGATTTCTTTTTGCTGCATCTGATTGTATTTTTTATTTTATTTTGGGGATGGGGGGGTGGAGGGTAAGTATGAGGGGGGCATCAACCAGTTCAGCCCCTTGATTGATGATTTAATTAGCCATACAGTGGCGAACTGCAGGAGGACAGGACACAAAATAATGCTTTATTTACATAACCAATCACGAAGCTGCAAAGGTGGAGCTTCTCTCTCTCTCTCTCTCTCTCTCTCTCTCTC